CAGGAGCTTCTTCTGGGTCTCTCACATGGTTGCTGGGTCCCAAGGCTTTGTGCCATCCTCAACTGCTTTCCCAGGCTGTAAGCAGAGAGCTGGATGGGAAGTGGAGCAGTTGGGATGTGAACTGGTGCTCTTACGGGGTCCCGGTGGATACAAAATGAGCTTTTAGTCACTAGACCCAGGGATTCAAATCTTAGTTATGTCCTCTTCATGCATAAACTTCAGTTCATAGACCTAGAATTGCGGGGTGGGAGGTGTGATATGGTGGGTGGCAAGTGGGGAGCCATGCTGCAGGAGTGGGAGAAGGGATGTGTTGTGTGTGCCTGGGCTACCGAAATTGACCGCTGCAGTGCCAGTGTACTGACATGCCAGTCATGGTCAAGGTGGCTCCATGCATGAGACAGCAGCAACAAAAAGCATGTAGACAATCCAAGAGCTGCCTCCTGTGGACTGGCAGCTGCCAAGGCACAACCCCTGTTGCAGCCTGGCCTCAGGGTGAATGCTTCTCCACCATGGAAAAGCCATGCAAGCAGAAGCCAAACCTGTCTCCATCCTACCACCTGAGCTGGGGCGTCATCAGACCTTTGCCATCTTTCAACAATGCTGAAAGATCAACTACCACCCCAGCCTCCCTCTCCATGATGGGGAAGGAGGAATTGGGGAGAACTGGGAAGAAGTTAAAGTCTCATGAGAGGGAGATACATTCTATATGCAACACAGGCAGCCTGGCACTCCTCAGCCACTGCACCCTCTTCAGGTGCACAACACCCCCACCTCCAGAAGGCCTGAGCCTAGAGGTCTCAATGTCCCTTTCATCTGGAACAACCACCCTGCACAAACGCTGCTCTGTGTTCAGTGTTGCCTGACCCATCACTTGGGTGGCAAAGTCTACAAGTTGGCACCAACCTGAAGCTCTCCACGAGAGAGCCTGAAAATAGGGATGTAGGGGAAGGGACCCTGGAGAAAAAAAAAACATGAGTCACTTTCTGCTTGGAGCACATATCTATGGGGCCACTGGGGAGTTAGAGCTTGCGATTAGAGGTGGGCTTGACAAATCCAGACGTCTGTGCAGAAAACGAAAGCAGAATGCAGTTGTGTTTTAGTTTTGTCTCACTTTCCTGAAAAAACTAACTCCCAGACCTCTTAGAGAAAAACAGCAAACTCTGCTGACCCTAAATGTGCACCCGTCATTTATCACAACAACATCCCAGAGCTTCAGAGCCTCTGGGCACTCAGAACGCAAAGCTCTCAAAGAACAGCCAGAGATCGGCTTCCACTTGCTGTCCATATTCCCTCATTCAGTCAAGCTTGAGAACTCCTCTCCTTTCACCTCACAGCCAGTGAGGGCCACCCCTAAACTTGGTAATCCTGAAACCCACTCCAATCACACTCGAGAGTTAGCATTAAGATCAACACCTCCACCGCCATCACCACCCACCCACCCACACACATACACACACACACACACAAGAGCCACAAAAAAACCCATAGGTCCAAATACAGCCAGGTAACCCTGCACGGGGTAAGCTCATAATCTCTTTTCACTTTCCTTCAGGCTATCTCAGTGACAACCCAAACACACATCTCACTCAACCTCTGCAGGCTTCGGCCACTCCAGCAGCAGCAGATTTCCTGCTTCCAAAGGACTGCTGGGAGCCCTCGCCTTCCCTGCCGATGCTCCTCCATGACATCCAATAAAGCACCCCCAAGTGGATATGTGTGCCACCTCAAGGCATGCCCCCACTTCCATCTCTCTCCAAGGGCAACGGCCAAAAAGGGGAAACGGGAGGTGGGGGACAGCCAGGATGCGACTGTTCCAAATCAAGGGATATTTGAAACTCAAACACATGGCCCAGGACCTACACTGCACATGTTAATGACCACACATGTGCCCATAAAGGAGTCCGTTAAACACAGGAGCCCTAAGAGCGGAGTGTGGAAAGAACATCCCAGGAGATTTGGTAAATAGTCTGAAGTTGTGGACCTCCTCCCCCTTCCCCTGTGAGAGCACGTGTGTGGGTAAGATGACAGTGCCTCCCTCCCCTTTTTCCCTCGGGCCTCACACCTGCACACTCCAAGCACCACAGCCACCCAGGCCTCCTGTCTGAGCTCCCCAGGGTGGCGGGGAGGGCAAATGGCTATGTCTTGTCCCCCCCATTCGTCCCCCCACCCCATCGGCTCGACCTCCCTCCCACCTCTCTTCCTCCTGCTATCTCTCTGGGCCTCCTCCCCAACCCCCAACACATTCTGACTTTCTCTTCTGCTTCAGAAGACCAGCTCCTGGCCAGCACCCAGACTCTACGCTCACACAATACATCTTTTCATTCCTTCCAGGCACAGAGGTTCGCCCCCACCCCCTCCCCAGCTGCCCGGCCCTGTCACAGGGCATATTCAAAAAGGCAAGAGGAGAGGGAGAGAGAAAAGCTGTTCCTCGCCCACCTGGCTGCCCCCAGCATCACATCCACCCCCACCCCAACCTCCAGCCTGACCCTGCTCAAGGGCCCAGGCCTAGCAGCACTTCATGGCAGGCCTCAGGGCTGTGAGCTGCAGCCCTAGGCAGATGTCTTCCAGGAGAGCCCAAGTGTGGGCTGAGTTGAGACAAGGGGCCTTTGTGTCTTGCCACCTGCTGCCCTCCAGAGCACATTCCTTTCCTAAGTGGCAGCTGAAAGAGGAACCTGGTGGCAGGTTGACACAGGATATTAGGAATGCCCTCTCTCGCACCCTGTTCCCGTTCAAACCCCGGCTTCCTGAGCAGGTGTGGCTTCAGATAGCCCTTCCTAAAGGTGGCCCCAACCTGCTCTTCATTGTACTGCCCATGGCAGACAAAGAGAAGAGTATCTAGCACCTAATTTGATCCTTCAAAGTAGAAGGAAAGAGAAACCAAGAGATGGAACTCAAGTCTTCATTGTGGGAAGACAGTGAGCTCTAGTGCAGCACCCAGCCCCACCCGAGTCCTTCGCTTGACTTGAGCATCCAAGAGCAAGCTTTTGAAGGACTCTGTGGGATGCAGGGACATACTTCATGCTGGAGAGCACACAGCTGGGAATCAACAGCAACTCATCCCTCATGCTTCAGAGAACAGCTTTCACTCCTACCACCTGCAGGAAGCAGGCTCTCCTGCCCTTCCCTGCTCAGCCAACTGACCCCAGAACCATAGAGAAACACGGGATGCACAGTCCTGTTTCTTGTGGGGTAATAGCCTTAGCCCACCTGCCCTCTTCCAGCTCCATCTGTTGAGCCCAGATGACTGCAGGTCTGACTGGCTTGGTTATCCATAGGGCACACTATTACATCAACCTGAAAAGCGTGTCCCTGTCCAGCTTAAGAACCACAGTCCCAAGCAAGGTCCTTGTGAGTGTGCATTTTCACTCAGCAGCCTACATTCTGTTCCCTCAGGGAAAATCTGGGTGGTCAAGTGCTCGTGGGTTCCAGTGTGTTTTTCCTATGTCCAAGAAAAAGGGTAGTGGTTCTAGAGATTTCTATGGCCAGAAGCAAACATGAAGGTGACTCTTTTACTCCAGCCAAGTGGAAAACAGCAATCACAGATTTGAGGAATTCAGGTCTTTGCAAAAAGAGGTCTTTCTGTGCCTCTCTCCACTTTTGTACCGGGAAGTCAACCACCAGCATCCATGGCTCTCTTTTCACTGCTCCAGAAGGATCTGGAAAGACATTTGCTCCCTTCTTTCGAAACACTTACTCATTCCTGCCCAAGGGAAGCGGGACAGCCTGTCTGGTCCATTGGTCCATGTTTTCTAGTTGGGTGATAGTATTACCATGATCCACTCCCACACCTTGGAGCACCTGCATCTTGGAGTAGGAGGCTCTCAGGATTCTTAGCTCCTATACTTGGAGCAGGAGACTCTTCCTCTTCTTCCCATCCCCATAGCCTAAACCAGAACCAGAGCCTGGATTTGATCTTGATCTCCCAATAAGTCTGCAAACTTAGTTCCAAAAGGAGCACATAGTTCCAATCCTAGAGCTGTGGGACTCAGCCTGGAATGGGAGTGAGGAATGCTAGCACATGCAATGGAATGGAAATCCCTACTCAGCTACCAGCTCTCTCTGTGTGTGCTATCCCAAGGGGAATCAGCAGGCCTCAGTCTCTCTTCCACTCTGGAAATTGTGGTCCTCATATTCCAGAGACCTATGACTTATGCTGATTTGTCCATTACATAGTACTCAGACATATCCCAGCTCCAGAATTTTGAAGACAATGTAAGACAAACACATAGAGCTCTTTGTTTAAAAAGCAGGAATAACTTACAGTTCAGCATGAAAATCTAAAGCTTTATCCTTTCATCCACAGTTCTTTGCCCCTAACTTGTCATAACTTAAAAATAAAATAACTATTTAACATTGGTTGAGGTTAAAAAAGATTGTAAGCAGGCTATGGGAGTCACAGGCACACATCATCAAAGCTGCACGTTAATGGGGAGAAGAGGCTGGTTGGCAGCTCCTTGTCTCTCAGGGATCTCCTCTGTACAGGCACATGCTTCCCTCTCCTATCTGACTCAGAGCCAAAAACAGAAAAACAGCTGTCCAGGCTGCTTGCCCGTGAAGCCAATCTAATCATTAAGACAACCTGGGGCTGTTGGAGCAATTATTAAAGAGAATCAGGTTGGGGTGTGACTTTATGGAGCATGAGAGCCGAGGGCTGACTCCTAACTTCCTCATCCTCTCGGTTAAATGTCGGCTGCACTTGTAGCTGATTGGCTAATCTCCAAGGAACCAAGATTCTCAGAACTCTGACAAGAGCTCTGTCAATTCTGCAGTCTCCGCTCCCCCTACCTCCTCCAGAATTCTGGGAGCTCAGTCCCCATCACTGTGGAGCCTTACTTACCTCTGACGTTCCTTCCAAGGGGGAAACAAAGAATAAGAATGGAGAAGACCTTCTGCAGAGCACTGTGAGCTTGCACTCCAGGCTCCTTCCGTCTTTTCCAAGAACTCCTGCTTGGACTGGCTTTAGAAGCAAACATTTAGATAAAGCATAAAACTCCACTCACCTTTCCTTCCTGAGTTACCCTGGTTCAAGGGCTTGTCAGTGACTGAACCTTGGGTGAGAGGGGAAACAAAAACACAGCCATTCAGAATGAATCGTGGTTGGTTTCTTTCAAAGAGTTGGCAGAGCCTGATGTTACGAGCATATGGTCCTGTATATATGTATTGTATACACATTGAGGGATATTATATACAAAGTTAGCACATACATACATGCCGAATGGGGTTTGTTTAACATCAATGTCACTGATAACCCAGCACTGTTGAGACTAACAGTGATTTCCAAGTTCCTTGGCAATGGTCTGGACCAGATTTTTTTCAAAGCTCCACATCTCTGTAACTCCCTTGCTGAACATTCCATCATCTTTCCTTTGCCTCCATCCTCTCACTTTCCCCTCTTCTCACCAAGTCTACATTGTGAGCTATGACCAATCATCAGGACCAACTGAAAAGAAACCCCCTCTTACTGCAAATGTAATGATTGACATCCCTTGGTTAGGGCAGGAAATCGGCGATTTTCCATCTACATTAAGTAGAAAATTGTTGGCCCAATTGTACTGAATGGGCTAAAATAGTCCAAGGCATGGAAACAATTTTCTAGATACAGCCTGTTCCTCAAGGGGTGAGCAGCATGTGTGCCTGGCCAAACATTTGCCCTTCAAATACTGGGACTGTATGTGTACCCCATCCTCTGATCATGACCTTGTGGCACCTGTCTTCTTCATGAATCTTCAACCTCACACAAGCATGGCAAAGTCAGTTCACTCACAGAAGGGCACCAGAGATGACCCTCCAACAAAATAAAAGGAAAAATCTATATTCTCTTAATCCATGCCATACCCATTCTCCATATCCTACTGGTTCTGTGAGAATTCAATTATATTACCCTGCATGGCTTGTTTCGAGTGCTTTTGTTTGCTTTATATGAAACTTTCCAGGTCATTTGCAGGGACAGCTAATTCCTGTCCCTCCTCACTCCAACCCCAATTAAGGTTTCCAGTTTCCATGTAAACGACAAATAAAGTAAACTTCCCTTTTTGACCTGCAAATTTGGTTTCCTGATGTAGATTCTTACTGCCCTTTCCACTTACTTTTCCCTTTACCTAGCAGGGTTAGCAGAAACATGAACTGATTTCATTAAGAAAGGTGAAAGTTGCTATAGTAAGACTGCTAGACTTTAGAATTCTCCATATTAGCATAATGTTTTATGCTTAGATTTATGCATATATTTAAAACTAAATAAGTTAACAAAATCCTATGAACACAGACATATGGAGCAGGACAGGTACTTTTGAATGGGGCCCAAGCCACATACTGGTTGAAGACAGCAGCTTGTGAGTTCCCTAACCAACTGAATGGAAGTGAAAAGCATGGCGTTTGTGTAAAGTCATAATTCACAAACCAAAGAAATTGGCCTAAGGCCAAATTTTCTCTATGCTTAGGAAACTGAAAATAGAAAAGGCTTGGTTTTTGGTATGCACTAACCCCGAGGGTCCCTAGAACAGTGATTGCTTAGCTTGCTTAATCATCAGAACTACCTGTGAAGCATCATTAAATAAAGAATTCAGGTCTCGCTCCATATCTAGTGATCAAATGGGGGAAGATAACTTCAGGTGCTTCACACTTCTCCAGGCATCACTGGCACTCATGCAAATTTAAAGGCAAAAGTTGTCCATGATTTGACATGACATTGTTCAAGTGTGGCACTGAGGCCACCACCCTCTTTCCTTGCTCCCAGGACTGACAACAGTAATAGGTCGTGACAACTTTTGATGTTGAACTTCCATGTAGTTTCAAAATCTGTTTCAGTGAGGTGCTGCAAGGATTACTACCGATAAGTCAGCCCACACACTGAAAACCCGTATCATTCCAGCTCTACTGGTTATAACCAATGCTTAGGTAAAAAGCAGCAAACCAGAAATCTCAACTCAGAAGTAATAAATATATATGTACATATACTCTCATCACCCAGCTGACTATTGAGCAGATGTGTCAGTGTCCACCCTCACCTGAGAAAGGGCTTATACCATCAAACAACTTTTTGGAGGTGCCCACCCAAAAAAGCAGGAGACCAAGCAGGGGGTCTCTCTCTCCAACTTTTTTCATTCTTCCCACCTCTCTCTACAGTACCTGAACATACAGGAGTTTTGTTCTGCACAGAAGAGCCACTGATGGGCTTCCCATCTGGGGTGACACACCAGCAGTAGCCTGTGTACGTGTGGCATTGCACCTGTTCCAGGAATTGAAAAGAGAAGAGCACCATAAGTGTTGTACCAATATTAGGAGGCATGACCCATCCGATCCAAGCACAAGTATGCCACCCTTACAATGCAGGAAGAACTCTGTCCACATCTCACCCCCCGCATTTGTCCTCAGAATGCCTCTCAGGAGGACACATCAGCCAGCAATCTTGGATGTGCTTGCTGTGGGCTCTCATGTGCACCCTCAGTGGTTTTTCACCCTTTTTCTTAACACTGAACATGTGACACCATCCTGAGATACATTCATTGTATTTTTCCTTTGACAGTGCTCAGCAATACTTGTATTTTTTTCCTAAGTACCAGCAGACACTCTCATCCAATTGTCCAAAGATCCTGACCATTGAGCTTCATTTGGCAAGTACAAGTAAGATTTGCACCTTCATAGGCTGATAAGACATTTAAACAAATGAGGGCAAACAGTAAACTTTGCTTGACTTTTCCATTCATCTGCTCCCTGGTCAGCCTGTCCACTACTGACCACATGGATATCTTAGACGGGGCACACATTAAGGGGTTCAGGTGAAAACAGAGTCCTTTTCAGGCACAGATGCTATTTCTAGATGATCCACTGCACCACTGCGTGCTCTTCCTCAAGTCTGACGTACCTATCTTGAAACAGTGAATGAAAACAAGACATTCTGCATTCTTCAGTATAATGCTCTTTCCCTTTTAATAGCTGTCAGCATAGTCATCTCTTCCAACCCTACCCAACTCCCTTCTTTTTGTCTGCTTTCACCAAGGAGTTCCTAAAAGTGTGAGGAAGGACACTTCCCTTCTGACAACCCCTTACTTGTCACTTTTGGACTCATGCTAGGCATTCAACTTGCTGACATGGTGCCCAAGATCCCCCGACTGACTCCGTCTATCCTGAATGTCATTCTTCTGTAATGTCTACACACACACACAGTAGCCACTCCGGCCACAGTGAACCTTTTGAGGCCTTAAGCACACCCTACTTTCTCATGATTAGGAACCTTGACTTGCTCCAACAACTTGTTTATCTACCATATCGTTTCCCAATCCACTCCTAGCTAGCCCCTTCAAGTTACCAGCCTCCCTCCATTTCCTCAACGAAGTCCCAACATTCTCTTTCCTCTTCCTCACTCCTCCCTCTGCTCTTCCCCATACCCTGTATCCCTCAGCTTCAGAAATATTATCACAAGGAATCCAGGCTGTTGATTTCTGTTGCCCGTGTCCCCTACTCCAGACCATGACCTCAAAAACTACACACTAGTTATTTCTGCATTCCCAGCATCCATCTTGATGCCTAAAATTTATAACAGGTGACTAAGGAATTGAATAAAGGCATGAAAAACTATCATATTTCCTCCATTCTCGATCTCTATCAAATCAAAAAATACAGCATGGATTTAAACATCCCCATCACATTAAATGCAGATCTCAGTGACAAGATGCATGCCAATTGCAAAGATATTAAAGTGTGGAGAAATGTGCCTCTTGGAATCCAGAACCTATTGGAATGGAGGCTAGACAGCAATTACATAGAAACTGAAGAGGTGCGGTATAGAGGGGACAGAATGAAAAAGAGATCTGACAGCCTGGAAGAAATCCAGAGGTTATCACTGAGGCAGAAAAGCAACAAGAAGGTATCTGAGATGGGTAAAAGACACCTCAATTTCCCCAGAGACAAGTAGTTTCTTCACAGACCTAGAAACAGAAATCAGAGCAAGACTAAGGGTGCCTTCTTCCCACCAGCAAAATTGTTACCTTGAGAAGGAGGTGCTCACCTCTACTGCCTCTGCATGGAGACCATGCTTACTGCCTGCACCTAGTTCCACATTCCACTTTTATAGATCCCTTGTTCCTAGCTCGCTGACCCAGATGCTCCCCAGAATTAATGTCTTGGGCTGGGTCAATGCTGCCTTCTCAGAAAGCTCAATGGGGAAATGAAATCAAATTCAGATAGACATGGGTTTGAATCCCAAGCCAGCCTATTGCACACTAGGTACATTACTTAGCTCTTTGAGCTCTACCTACTAAATGGGGATACTGATGCCCAACCTGGAGGGCTGTGGTGAGGCAGCTCAATCCCCCAGTGGCTGAAGCAGTGACTATTAGAAAAACTGGCCAGTGGTAACCTCTTGCACCAGAGCTCCTGTAGGAACCTCCAGAGGCGTGGCTGCTTGGAACTGCTGCTGAAAACTTGGAGTCAATCCCTGCAGGGGTTGTCAGCCCTGCAGACAACAGTTCCTAGGAATGGTGCCTCCCCAGCGGTGGCATTTCTGTAGGTTCTAGTCTGATGCCTTTCTCCTCCATAGCCAATAACAGATCACCTCATGGGAAATTTGTCCCAGGGAGCAGACAGCCATTCTGATTCACTCCCAGGCCCCTTGGCTTCCAGTTAAGTTAGGCCTCTCTCTTGAAAAGACTGTATCCCACAATGTAATGCTAAATACTGTGCCTGGTGCTGCACTGCTGGAGTCATGCCTGCAGTCACGCAGGCTGTAGATGGGAGCTGAGCCTGCCAAAGTCCAACTCAAGCTAGTGAGGACAAAACACGTATATGAATAAGAGCCCAAGCCCAGAGCTTTGTTTCAGAGGATATAATCTAACCCCTGGACTAAGAGGTCCCAGGGGCCACATTCACACTGAGTGTGCCCATTGTGTCCTTGCAGGCACATGGGCAATGCCTCCTGGCCCCCAGCCAAGCCCCTGAGCCTAAACATAGCTTCTTTTTCTCCAGGCTCCAAGGAATGTCCCCAGTTTCCAAAATGCTCAGGCTAGGAGCTCTATCCAAGTCCTACAAAACCACAATAGAATGAGAGATCGTAGCCAGATTGCCCTGAGGTTGGAGCACAGAGTGATGGACACACCTGACCCAGGTGAGCTGCAAAGAAGGAACAAAAGGAAGCACAGGAGATGCCAGCAGATCTTGAACTGCAGGAAGTGGCTGAACAAAACCCTTTGCTAAAGGAATCTAGAGTGAATCAGGCCATGATCTTCAACAGCGAGTTGTTTTCAAGTTCTCTTGGGGACTATTTAAGATGTCTTGTAAAAAAAAAGTTACATGAAAACAGATTTCAGCCTGCCTTCTTTCACTTTCCAGCTCCACCACTTAACTCCTTCCACAGCCTGGGAAAGCTTCTTTATCCAGCCAAGCCTCAAATCCTCTGTATCTCTTCAAGATGCAAGAGGGTGGGTATTAGCATGGCAACGGAGACACTAATTGGGTTTGAGAACAAGCTTCACTTGGGATTCCAGCTTCCTGCTAATGCAGGCAGTAAGTGATGGTTCAAGTAGTTGGATCTCTGCCACCCACGCAGAATTCCTGCCCTGAGTTCCAGGTCCATGGCTTTAGCCTCATCCCAACCTGGGCAACTGTGGTCATTTGGGAAGTGAACCAACAGATGGAAGATATCTCTATCTCTGACCTTCAAATAAACAAGAAAGACATCTAAACATGTTTTTGTAAAAGGACAGATGCTATAACTAATAAAGATAACAGTGCTTATCTCATAGATTGAGAGAATTAAATTAGATTACATAACTTAAGCACTTAGTGCACAGGGTAAGTGCCCAGTTAACCCTAGCTATTTATTTGTACCAGTGTGGTACTGTTTTACAAGCCAGCCACACATGAAATAGGCCAGAGCCATGTTATCTGATGAGAAGCAAAGAACATTTCACTTTGACCAGCCGAAGACACAGAGCAGTCTGCAATCAGCAACACATTTTTAAAGTTGGGGTGAAGGAAGGGGAAGTTTGTTTTCACATAGAAGTCGTTCTACTGTTCTCATAGAAGTAAGGTTTCTTGCAGAAAAGCAATGAGGGTGTAAATGTTATAGAACTTATGGTTGATATTATAGGGTAATTCAAAAAGTTCTCGAGAAATGAAATTGTAAGATAATTATGATGCAAAACAATTTTTAAATTTATGCATAGAATGATCTGCAACAAGTTCATGGAAAATGTGCATTGTAGAAAAACTACACATGGATTTCAAAAGTATTTTACACTAAAATGAACTTATCATTCAGTTCTATTTTTGGGGGGGGAATGTTTGGAAGTATTCTTGTATACACAATCAAAATATAAATTCTACCTGGTTTATCTTCCTCCCTTGTAGACTTATTCATTTAAATAAACAAGTGATACCCTTTTGTTTTTCCCTCAAATTGATCAATTGATTCATGGGAAAAGTCTGGGAAGAGAAGGCAGTTAGCCATTGCTAGTATCTTTCCCGCAGTTCTTAAAACTCAGCCTTGTTCCAGCCCCAAATCCATGGACACAAATCCTGAATTTGCTCTTATCTCATTCTGGAGCATCCCCAAAAGGCTGAACGATCCACTGATATATCTTTCTTAAGAAACATAAAGTATCTAAGAGGGTTTCTGTTCTTAGCTTCTATTCTAACCATTGTGTTAAATCTAACTCGGATTTCTAAGGATGCTAGGTACTTCAGTTTGTGGAGGGATAGGTTTTTGTCTTCTAGTTTGGATGCCCATGTCCCATATTGGGGTGCCTCGGTTTGAGTACCGTCTCCAGTCTTGTTCCAGCTTCTTGTTCATGCACATTTGCAGGGCAGGGGAAGTGGGGCTGTAGCAAGTGATGGCTCAAGTATTTGGATTCCTGTCACCCATTTGGAAGATCCAGACTGAACATCTAACCCTTTCTCAGATGTTGTGGGCATTTGGTCAATGAACCAGAGAATAGGTCTTCCATCTCTCCCTCTCTTTCTATCTGTTAACTAACTAAATAAATTTTTGAAATTCATGAGAAATGGGATCAAAAGACATGTTAATTTTGATGCAAAAAATGAAATCCATAGAGGGATCTTCAAAAAGTTCATAACAATAAACATGAAAAATTATGCATAGATTCTTTTTTTTTTTTTGCACATATCTATCTGAGAAGCAAAGACACAGTGAGAGAGAGTTTCTGCCTCCTAATGAAACAACCAAATGTCAGCAATGGCCGGAGCTGGGCCAGGATCTGTGCTAGATCTGGA